AGACTCAGGAGAGATATAAAAGGAGAGGTAATCAGAGGCAGAGAGGTAGTCAGACTAGTCAAACTAGACAGACTAGACATACGAGACAGACTCAGACTCGACAGAGAGACAGACAGACTCAGTCAGAGCTGACAGACTAGTCAGAGCAGCAGACTTCGTCTCCAGAGCAGACTCCGTCTCCAGCAGCAGACTCCATCTCCAGCAGGCAGATTTCCATCTTTGACCAGACTTCTTGTCTGGTCTTGTCTCCATTCTTCGCGACAGTGTCCCCACTCTCTCTCTTGCTCCCTGACCCACACACCAGAGCAGCAGAATGGGTCATTACACTCTTGTTTCTGAAGACTATATAGTTATCTTAAGAAAGTCTTATTTTTTGCAGATTTATGTGTGATAACATGAACATTACTTTATCACACCCACACATGCACACTCACACACATGCACACGTGTGCACATACACAGACAAATATTGTTTTACCAACAGTGACAAATGCTGTCTTTTAACTTTGCTTGTATATATATGTATGTGTACTCCTGTGTCACTTCTTGATCCGACCCAAAGAAAGGAGTGACACCACGTGGAGTTCTTCTCAAAGCAGTTTATTCAGGAACCTTAACAATGTCCAAAACAAGCCCCTGAGGCCTCTCCCTATCTGTCCTTAAATCCCTGTGCCTGCACCACTCAGATCCTGCCACGCAGGCGGTCTCAGTTGGTCCAAGGTGTTGCTTATTAGATGGCCTGATAATGCATAGCAGCAAGTCACCACACCGGCTCCTCACAATTCCCCCTTTTATTTAATTTTTGGCAGAGAGAATGCCTGTCTTAGGTTGTCCCTTGAGACAAAGTTCCTAACCTGTAATTGGGAGTCAAACAACTTTGGTTTGGTCCCTGTCTTAGGTTGGTAACAAGTCCAAGGAATCTTACCCGTCACTGACTACTTCTCTAGCATGCCAAGCCACACTTGAGGAGATTGCCCCATCTCCACAGCTGCAAATTCTTGTACAAGCAAGGCCTGATTCTTAGATTGCCGAGCTCTCATGTTACATGTACACCAAAACGCCAGGCAGCTGATGAGGAGCAGGCACAAAGCCACCTCCCCCAATTCCAGTCCATTCCTTCAGATGAGACATTGCTTGAAGTATCCAACTGGTTAATCCAGAAACTAGGGAGGCATATACTCGGGTTGAATTGATGTGGACGATGGAGTGTCGTAAGTCTCTCAGCAACTTAGCCAAATCTCCAGACCAATTACGTACAAGATACTGAGAAAGTTCTTTGGAAAGATTACTGTCACGGCTTGCGTTCTGAAATGGTATGGAGGTAACACATAACCCAATATATTTCCACTGACAACCCCCCTGAGCTAATTCCATAAGCACATCTACTTGTTCCTGAACTAAATCAACTCTTTGATTAAGCAAAAGAATGCCCACTTTCAACTTACTATTAATACTACCCTGGATGTACAATGCCTCCGCAACTCCTGCAGACAAATTATTTAAAGTGGCTGCGGTCTGGACTGTTGTCGTCAAGGCAACTGCAGCTGCTGTAGCAGCAGTAGCAGACACAGCAATGGCTGTAATGACTGCTGCAGTAATGCCAAAATTTCTCTTCGGTCTAAATAAAGTCATGGCAGAGGAGACTTCCACAGGCCACGGAACATATCTAGGCATGCAGGCAACCATTGCAAAATGATAAACAGAAGCGTTCCTACACATATATAAAAACAACTATTATTACTGCATTTTAAAAGGCTACTATTATAATTACCATTAAACACTATAAAAACAAAAGGAGGCCCACACAAACCGGCGTAGGCCCAAAGGAAATATTATGCCTTGAACATATTAGTCACTAATTAAAAATATAATACCCTTGGTAAATGTAAATCCAAGTAATCCGGTACTGGGGCAATCTCTCCATCCCACGGCAAATAGGGTAACTGCAAGGAAACATCACTAGAAAAAAACCTAGGAAAAACTTTTGCAGAATGCATCAATGGTAAAGATTTAAGAAAGAACAGACAAAATACCCCACTGAAATTCATTGCTTCTTATCATTGGTATCATCCACATCAACAAGAGCATGTTCAGGGCCATCATCCTCACAATTCTCTGGTTGCACAGCTCTGGTAAGCTGCTCAGGGACCCAAATCGGCTGTCACTGATCCTGAGGAAACACACAAACAGAACCTCTCGCCAAAACCAACACCAGATCAGGTCCATTCCAACGGCCTGTCAAGATATCCTTCCATATTACCATGTCTTTATTTGAAGAATCAAAGTCACTATGGCGATCAGCAGCAGAGCGCCCCTGTTTATCTTCAGTTAAAAAATTTAAGGTAAAAAGAGCTATGGCTAATCTCTCTCTGGGCAGTTGGCCAGAGGCAATTCCCCCTTTTTGTTTAAGAAGACACTCTTTCAGAGTGTGATGAGCATGCTCAATAATACCCTGTCCTTGAGGATTATAGGGTATCCCATGACCAAAATGGACACCCATCATTTTGTAAAAACTTACAAAGGAAGCAGAAGTATATGCTGGTCCATTATCAGTTTTCAATTCTTTTGGCATACTCCTGGCTCGTCAAGCCTTAAAACAATGTGCAATGACATGGCAGGCTTTCTTGCCTGAATGTAAGGATGCAAATATCACCCCTGAAGCAGTATCTATGGAAACATGAATATATTTTAACTTCTCAAACTCAAAAAAATGTGTAACATCCATCTGGCACAAATGTAGTGGATGTAAACCACGGGGATAAACCCCCACACTGGCCTGTGGTATCAAGGGGGCACAAGATTGACAGGATTTCACGTATTTCTAGCATCTACATGAGAAATACCAAAACGAGAGGACAAAGTCTTAGAATTTACATTAAACTGTTTATGAAAAGTTTGAGCCAAATCAATGGGAGAGGAAACCAGAAAAACTAGACAAGCCTTAGAGGCTTTGTCCACCACATTATTTCCCTCAGCCAATGGCCCTGGTAATCCAGTATGGGCACGAATATGCTGAACAAAAAAGGGAAATTCTCTGTTCCAAACAAGCACTTGCAATTTAACTAATAACTCTCCAATGGTGGATTTAAGACTAATTTTTCCAAATATCTCCAAATGTTTTAAAATATTGACCACGTGCTGACTGTCAGATATTAAAGTGAAAGAACACTTAAACTGATCAAAAACTTTAATCACAATTTGTAATTCAATAACTTGCAGAGAAGCTGGTGGAAATTGTATAGTCACTGGCTGAGAGCCAGCAACTAAACAAACCTCACACTCAGTCTTGGAGCCATCAGTAAAAATGGTAGGACACTCCATGAGGGGACTTATATGAGTTATACGAGTAAAAACTATAGGGTGGGCACTAATCAATTGCAAAATCAGATTTTTTGGAAAATGATTATCCATGGAGCCATAAAAGGTGCATCTTAGAATAGCCCAATCTACTGTGACTGTTAATACTTCAATCTGAGCAGAGGTATATGGCACAATCTGAATTTCTGGCAGAATGCCAAAATGTTGAACCCATTGTTGTATTCCCAACATAGCTAATTGAGCTACGGAGGTTGGGAAATGCATCAGTGTTTTAGCCAGGGAAATCTTAGGATGTACCCAAAGTAAAGGGGCTTCTTGTCATAATACTCCTGTAGGCTGACACTCAGTAGGCAAGATGCATAGTAGGATGGCTTGAGCTTCATCTCTACATATACTTTCTTCCACCAATTGTAATGCCCTTTTTGCCTCATCAGTAAGTTTTCTTGGAGAATTCAAATCGGGATTGCCAGGCAAAATATCATACAAGGGTTGCAACTGTTTATTGGATAGAGAAAGATAAGATCTAATCCATTGGATATCCCCTAGCAATTTCTGAATATCATTCAAGGTATGTAAGCTATCCGTACAAATCTGAACATTTTGAGGTGTCACTTGTTCTGATGAGATCCTTGTTCCTAAATAATTTACCACTAAATCCTTTTGTACCTTATCGGGAGCCACAATCAAATGCTTTCTTTTTAATGCTAAAATAACAGAACCATAAGCCTCATCAAGTAACTGTTCCATAGGGGCTGCAATAAGAGTATCATCCATATAGTGGTAACATTTTATCTTTGGAAATCTTTCTCTAATTTCTTGCAATGCAGCATCAACATACAGCTGGCATATAGTGGGACTGTTTGCCATCCCCTGAGGCAATACAACCCAATCAAACTTTTTATCTGGTTCTGCATGATTTAAGGAAGGAACCGTAAAGACAAATCTAGCTGTATCTTTATAATATAACTGGATTGAAAAGAAACAATCTTTAATATCTAAGACTATTATAGGCCACCTTTTAGGTAGTGCCAAAGGTAAGGGTAATCCTCTTTGTACCGGTCCCATGACAATCATCTGTTTATTAATCTCTCTTAAATCACACAAGAGTCTCCATTTTCCTGACCTTTTCTTAATTACAAAGATTGAAGTATTCCAGGGGGATGTGGATGATTGTAGATGTCCCAGGAATAGCTGTTCTTGCACCAGAGTATGGACGGTCTGAAACTTTTCTGAGGGAAGTGGCCATTAAGGAACCCACACGGGCTCCTCAGATTTCCACAATATGGGAAAACTCTCCTCAGTGGCCCCTAAGAAAAACCCACTCCCTCTCTATCTTGTTTCTACTGAACAGAAATAGGAGTTGCTCATCCCTGTAGCTCTCTTCCCAGCCCTTTTCCTGGAATATAGCCCATACCAGACATGATACTTCGTGATTTCAGGCTGTATTTTCCCTCATTAGTTAGCATAAAACCCATTTCTTCCATAAGATCTCTTCCCAATAAGGAAACGGTAACTTACAGAACATAGGGCTGGAAAGTCCCAGAATGCCCTTCTGCATCCTTCCAGTGCAAGAATCTAGAACTCATTTCCGGCTCTTGGGCATATCCCAGTCCTCTCAGTAATTGAGTAGATGTCTGTTTGGGCCATCCGGAGGACCAGTCCTAGGTACTGAGTAACAATGGTCATGAATCAAGATTCAAAGAACAGAAAATGGCGGAGGTTCCTGTAGAACCAAAGCCTTTGGCCCCCCGCTCAACATCGGTAGCAGGAAACTGATCATGGCAGATGGACAAAAGCAACAGCTGAGCTAGCCTATCTCCTGGGGAGATGGCTGATATCCCTCTAGGGGAGGATACCATTACCTTCACCACTCCAGTATAATCCGGATCAATGACTCCAGGGTGGATCATCAAACCTTGCATAGTAACCAAACTTCTCCCCAACACCAGTCCCACTGTCTTAGGTGGCAATGGGCCATGAAAGTCTGTCTCTACCAATTGAGGGCCCATTTGAGGTGTTAATGAGTCTGGTGGTGGAACAGAGGTCAAGTCCTGCACTTCCTCTTGTCTTCCTTCGGGCCAACTCCATTGCATTGGAGGCCTCAGGCTTGGCCAATTCTCAGTTACTGCCCCATATATTTGAGGGCCCTGAGGTCAGGAGCCCTGTGTCACGTGTTTTGGCCTGGCTCTCGATTGTCCTGCATCTAAAGGCTGTCCATTGATACCTTTCACTGATCTACACTCGATTGCCCAATGGTTTCCCTTTCTACATTTAGGCCAAAGCCCAGGTGCTCTCACTCTTGGGCCTTCAGAGGTTTGTAACTGGGGACATTGCTGCTTCAAATGTCCAGACTGACCACACTTAAAACAGTTTCCATTCCTTAAGCTACTTCTGTCATTTGCATAACTGCAGCAGCCAAACTAGCATTACAGAGAGGTCCCCCTAACTCCCTACAGATCTTCAACCATACCTCCAGCCCCTTGTTCTTATATGGGTTGATGTCCTGCCTACACTCCTTGGTACATTGCTCAAAAATCAACTGTTTTGGTAAAGCATGACTGTATCAGGGTCCCTAAAATTTCTTCCCCCAGCTTCTACCATTCTAGCCACAAAGTCAGCAAATTGTTCCGCTGACCCTTGGATAATCTTAGGTTTCCTTGCACTTCTCCTCTATTTGGTAGAGATTTCCAAGCTCTAGTTCCCATCAAGTTATTTTGTTCATAAACTTGCAGAAGATAACCAGTCTGTTGATTGGCAAACCTGCCTTACCCCAGTAACATATCCTGACTCCATGCTGGCTGTCCATTAGCAGCATTTATGGCTGCCTGCTCTGTTGAGAATTCAATAAAATAGGCCTTCCAGTCTAAATACTGTCCGGGAGATAGGCATGCTCTAGCTAAATTCTGCCAATCACTGGGGGTCATACAATATCTGTGAAGGGTTTCCAGCTGTATTATTACATAAGCAGCATTAATGCCGTAGGCTTGAACCCCTTCTGCCAGTATTTGGATAACCTTCCAATCAAGGGGCTCATGATAGTGATTGCCTTGGGCATCCTGAAATACTGGAAAACACTGAGCTTGTAACTCCCTCCAGACCTCTGGCCACAGGCTCCATCCGGAAGCTCCACTTGGAGCATATGGAGGTGGCTAGTGGCGGCTCTGGCACCATAGGTTCCACTTCTATTTTCATTTTTTCTAAACCCTGCACCAGCTCTTCAAGCTCCTCTTCGGAAACTCCCTCCTCATCTGAGCTTTCTGCACTTTCCGACTTTTGAGACGGCTCCTCTCTCAGCTACTCTAGTGCCTCACAGTCCCGTTCCAGCTCTGCTGCACATCTCACCTCCTTTTCTTTTATACAAAACCTCACCAATTTCCATATGGTTAGGACACCCGTGGTTAACACTCCCTGCTCCTCAGCAAATCTTAAGTCTTTTCCAAGCTTCTCCCAGCTGGGTATAGTTAGGTGTCCCAAAACTGAAAACCATGGTGCGACGTCATCCACGGCTTGTAAAAATTTTTCTACAGTAACCCTTTTAAATCCTATTCCTTTTACTTTCAATAATCTCCGACAACCTTGGCTTACAGAGGTTGAAGATGATGAATTCCCCATTGTGCTTGGTGTAACTTGTTCCACTACTGGGAACCTTATTGTCTCTAAACCGAGAACTTGCCCTTGTCCCTCTTACCTTGGAACTTACCACCTAGCTGCCCTGACTATGATGAGTTCTTAACTTCCCCGTATGGGCCACCACTTGTCGCTTCTCGATCCGACCCGCAGAAAGGAGTGACACCACGTGGAGTTCTTCTCAAAACAGTTTATTCAGGAACCTTAACAATGTTCAAAACAAGCCCCTGAGGCCTCTCCCTCTCTGCCCTTAAATCCCTGTGCCTGCACCACTCAGATCCTGCCATGCAGGCACTCTCAATTGGTCCAAGGTGTTGCTCGTTAGATGTCCTGATAATGCATAGCAGCGAGTCTGCGCAGTATAGCCTGCAGACGTGGGTCTTCAGGGGTGTGTAAAAAAGTCAGGTAAGAGTCATGAGACTTGGCAACCGTCCCAGGTGCCATCTGTTAGTCATAAGACTTGACAACTGTCCCAGGCACCATCTTGGAATGATCACTACACCTGCTCCTCACAATCCTGCATATACCTTTGCAAAAATACATCATATCAACTCAATAATAATAATCAGGCTACCATCTTATAATACTGATAATATATGTTCTGACAGGATTTCCATTTAAATATTTTTAATGAAATGGCTCTCTATTTAAGAAAGAAATATACAAACAAAACCTTGAAAAGAAAGTGATGAATTCAGTAAATAAACAAGAGCACTTTATAAGATAATCTGTTCTTTTCTAAATTTAGCACATTGAATTTCTCAGCCTCTTTCAAAGATGATATTAAGATACAAGAATTGTAACTTATAATTGCACTGATTCATGAAATTCTAGGCAAATACATTAAACAGTATCTGTTCTTCACCATCTGTAGGCCCCTTGATTTAACTGGAAAAAAGAATAAAAGAAAAGAAGTAGAACATATCCAAGTCTCACTCTGAGTGGCAATTCTCATGTTTCATGACAACAATAAAAATTATAAAAGTCAGGATTGTGTTGTTATTTAATATTGATAGTGAAGAAATTGATCTAAATAATCAATCTTTGAGCTGTACATTGATACACCATAAGCCAAGAGATAAGCGTTTGATTACTGAGGAGGTGAAGAAAAGAGGGTTACACATTAGACCCAGTAATCTATCAAGTCCTCTCCTTCCTTATCTTTGCTTTACCCATCTTGAAACATGTGTTTTTTTTAATTAAAAGTAATGAATCTTCTCTTGTTTACTTGACAAATATGTCTTTCCACCATGAATATAAAATAAAGGAATAAGTTGAAAGAGAAACTTGTTACTTTAGCTGTAAGACAATTAAAAAGATTTAAAACTTTAATTCTTTCTAACAGTAATGAAGTGTTCAATGAAAGGAACCCCTTCCCTTTCATTAGTGCATCTTCTATCTTGTAGTTGCAGTTTTCAACATGTTTAACAAATAACTAATTCAAGTGTTACATCATGCTGAAAATGGTTCAGTTGTCTGACGATGCCTAATATGACTACATCATTTGTTTGTCCCATTCTAAAAAGTCAGCCAAAGTACCAAAGTATATTTAAAAAAAAATCAGTATTACTGACTCAAAATGTTTTATTTAGAATGTGTGGATAGATAGATAGATAGATAGATAGATAGATAGATAGATAGATAGATAGATAGATAGA